GAACATTGTTAAATTTTACCGTGAAAGACAAAGGTAACCCATGTACTTTCTAAGTTTCAATAAAAAGCTGAAGAATTTAGTTGTAAAATTATCAGTTAAAGTTATCAGTTCGGTGACAGTCTGCTTGCTTGCTTGCCGGCTAGATTATGGGTTGCTTCTCGTTGAGGTCTCTGTCTCTGTCCCTATTTTTTGCTGTAGTGTGGAGGGGACACATTTTATCCGATTTTGGATGCGGAAGAAAACTTGGCATAATTTTCTGAGTCAAAACACCATTTTTAAAAATTATGTGGCGTATTAAAAGCGCGATTAGCAAAACACCGCATGTCAAAACTTGAGTAAAGTAAGTACAAGATTAATTTTTAGTCTTCGGCGTGACATTTAAGAAAAATGCGTCGCTGTTAACATGAATGCTAAAAATGTTTTTCAGTCATTTTTCGATGGGATATTCGGTGTTTACAGCTGTTAATGATCTTAGAATGACGAAAAAGTATTAAATTCTGAATCTTTATTTTTAACTTGAGCGTGGTGTCGCAGGTTATACCGATTTCATCGCATAGATATCGATATGCTTTGTGCTTACGAGTCTCTTCAGGAATAAGACGGCATGAAAAATTTCTAGTTCAAACGCCGTGCAAAACCAATGAAGTTGTACTGAAACTCACCTCACTAGATTTAGAGGGAAAAAAAGGTAGAAAATGAATAAACAGGGCCTTTAAATTCAATTTCTTTAATAATCAACTGCAGTATCCATATATAAAAAGCAAATCAAATAAATTAAAGAAACATTAAGTACAAAAACAAAATTTGCCTTCATAACGGTAAGGAATTAGCGCTTCCTCCTGAAAGCTATAGTGTAAAAGCAGTTATTTGAACAAATTAACTTGGCTACCACTACATCACGCAGTACGCCTTAACGATATCTTTAAAACAACACATTTTACTTCGAATCACTCAGAGAGAATATTAAAAGAGTTTTGACAGATGTTCCAAGCTGTCGCTTTCATAAGATAAAGGAAGAAGCTTCCCGTTATTCACTATAATTTATTCACGTGAAGTTAGAGATTTAAGTTTGACAAGAACTTATTTCCGAAAAAAAAAAAAAAAGATAATGCTATTTTCCTGGAGTTAATATCGAGGGAAATTGTGTAAGATTACCTGGTGGAAATTGATGAAGCCAAGTGCCTCTGTTAGGATCGTATAAAACATTTTTATTCTCAAGATGGTGATTATCAATTGCTAGTATGCATAAAAGATCTGGTTTTTTGTATTTTGTTTCTTTGTTTAAACTTAATTTGAATAGAAATTGAAATAAAAAATACCCGAAATTTCCATCCCCATCTAGGAAAATTCAGCTGCCAAAAGTTGCCTCTTCGCTCTATACCTTCTTTTGTGTTTATTACTCCGGAATGAGAATAGAAAAATGAAATCACTGAAAGTCAAGATAGATATGAAAATAGTCATGTTAATCCAAAATATTTCTTAGTGTTCATTTGGAAACTGTTCTTATTCTTCGTACTTGAGGTGCAGTCATTTCAAATTGGAAAATGTAATCGTTAATCTTATGACAGTGTGCCACGTGAACTGGGTTATGTTCTATATCTATTGGTCTTTATTAGATTTAGCGAACTGTTCAAACTTGTCGTGGAACCGCCAAAGGGTATTTTAAGGCCAATAACTTCAACTAGCAACCACTTTTGGTCATAACTCCTCTCTTGGTAAAGGAAGCCATTACTTCAGTAAGTGCTCACGAAAGGATTAAATCGTTAGTTTCTCATTGTTACTTGAAAGGCGCTGTTGGTGACGTCTAAATATAGAGTTTCTCTCGCCGTACAACTTGAAGTAAACAGAATTAGTTTCACACTAGTTGCTCTAATTCGTCATTTCTAGATATGAATGTTTCCTAGTTTAGCCAGGCTTTAAAAGATCTGGTTTTTTGTTTTCTGCTTCTTTTTAGCTTACTTTGAATAGATTGAAATAAAAAATTCCCAAAAAGGGAGAAGTTTTTAAATTTGACGAGGAGCTGAACAACTTCTGCAGATGAGAACATCGAAAACGTTCAACACTAAGAGAGATGTTCAAAAAGTGAAGTAAAATAAGGCCTTAAGACCTTTTCCAAATCACACTGAATAAAAAACAAAAATTATGCTGTTATACCCATGCTCGAAACTGCAAGAGTCTCTGTCAAGAGTGAGTTCTGTGGTGTGGAAGTGGCGCTACAGATCTCAGATAGAAATTAACTGTTATACAAGGTTTTGTATTTTCGAAACGCGTTTTTTTTTTAGCCTTAGATGGTATCGACAACTGTACTATAAGCTAACCGTTTTTCTCAATAACTGCCGGAAATCAAGGGAGTATCCATGAGAAAATCAGGCTGAGGCTGGGTGGATACGAGCACTCAGAGCACCAATTTAGCTCAAACCTGGCACGAATGCTAAGTATCATGCAGGAGTTAACAACTGCATGAGACTAACAGCTCAAAATACGGATTTCTTTGGAGATATGGTTTCCCCCCCCAGGGAAAACCCTATTTCCGCATTTTTATTTTTGCGTAATTAAGACGCAGTATTTCTAAAAGCAGTCCAGTACATTTTGGCTCAATTTCTTTCAAACTTTGGCCCATTAATCTATCTTGCTTTAAAAGTAATCGTAGGCGCTTTGGTTTTTCGAAGTATTGCAAACTAATTTTTTTCCGAACGAAAATTGCCTCAGTGCTTAGCTCTAAAAGGTTTATTTTTACCAACGCCAGTCATTAAAAATGGCACAAATTTCCGCGTTAGTCTTTTAAAAAAATATTGGAATTTTTTTTCTTCGCATATTTAGATGGATCATTTATAAAAATATATCGCATAGAGTTTTTCTTTTCTGATGGTTTTTTAAATTGAGAATTATTTTTTCAGTTTGACACCTACTTTGCCATTGCCCCAACAACGGTAAGTATGCAACTTTGGTGTTCCCTCAGCACAAAAAGTTTAACTTCTTCCCCATGATATTTTTATTCAGATTATCTATTCAAACCTGTCTTGGAGCCACCAAAGGTTATTTTAAGGCCAATATCCCCAACGAGCAACCATTTCCGATCATTATTCCTCTATTGGTAGTGGAAGCAATCACATGAGTATTCCCAACGGTGGTAAATCGTTAGTTTCTCATTGTTACTTTGAAGGCGCTGTTCGTGGCGCCTAAATATTGAGTTTCTTTCGCCGTATAGCTTGAATTAAATAGAATTAGTTTCAGACTAGTTGCTGTAATTCGTCGTTTCTAGACATGAAAGCGAGAGTTTCTTACCTTAACAGCGATAAATAAAAAGCGTTAGGTAAATATCAAACCAGGTCGGACAGGCAGGTCCACGGATTTGGCTCCAATTTTGCATATAAACTTGGTTAGGGGTGCACTGGTCACAAAAAGGATATTTTAAGATTGAAATTTATTTTACTCGGGAAATTACGGTTCACGGCCACTTGGAGCCCCTCTGAACATGGAAATGAGGCTGACCAACAGCATCTTTTCAATTCCTGGGTTTACTTTGCTTACCCATTTTTGTATCTGTGTTTTATTACAAACAAAATCTACAGCTCTTCCTCTGTGTTTTGAATAGTAAATTTCGTAGAAAAATATTAAGGGAGAGGTTGAAACACGCTATTCAATTTACTCAGTTTTAGGTAGGTGTTGTAAGGTCCCTGAAAAATACCATAAGTTCAGAAGCTTCTAACACCGTTGATATGTCAATTTAGAACAACTTGTTAGTTTCCTGAAACAACATTTGTAATAGGTTATCTGCAGAAGAAAATTCAGAGCTGGGAGGTTTTAATGCCTTCCTTCTCCGCCTAGTAGAATATGATAAGGCTCGTGGATATTGTAGTGGATATCGTAGATATTGTATTTTTCCGTCTGCTGCATCTATTAATTAGTTGATTTGGTTAGGCAGGGGACGTTAAAGAACCCACTCACGAGATTACTGTAATGCGGTCTGGCCTGTTTACTGGGAATCGGGAGGAGGGGGCATCTGTTAGATTCACCTTTAATTGATTGTAAACTGCTTAGCAGTCTGGTAAAGTCCCCCGCACAGTGTTGTAAAGCGCCATGAGCTCACGATATGAGCGCTGTATAAATAGAAGTTATTATTATTATTATTATTATTATTATTATTATTACTACATTACATCGGAAAGTGCGCAAGCCAGAATTTAAGTAGTCAATTTTTTATTATGTAGCTTAGTTTACTGAATTTTTCTTTTTTTTTTTAGAGAACTGCTTTTTGTGAAATATCATTAAGGAAAAATTTAGTATGATGACTAAATCATGAGTAAGATATCAAAAGTCACTTCGGATTGGATAAATATAATTCATGGCTTTAACCATTGTAATACAACACAGCCATCTACTAAACATATTAGAAGTTACCAATGTGATGACAAAATCATGAGTAAGATGAGTAGGTAGCTTAAGATTGAATAAATAAGATTACTTGCTTAGCAATGTAGCTCAACGCAACCATCTACGAAATTATAAGATGTTACCATTGAGATGAAAAGTGAAAAACTCATGAGTAATATATCAATAGTAACTTGAAATTGACGGTAACTTCAGCTTGAATAAACATGATTCATGGCTTAGCATTGCTATACAACACAACCTGCTACTGGATGCTTACAATAGGTAAGATATCGATGGTAATTTCAAATTGAATAAATGCCAGTTATGGCCGAGCATTGCTATACAACAAACATCTACGGAATATATCATAAGACGCTAAGATTGAATTGGAGAAATCATAAGTAAGGTGGCAATATATGGCAACAGATTTCAATTGAATCATTAGGATTCATGGCTTAGCATTGTAATACAACACAGCCATCTAGAGAGTATCTCAGATGTTTAGGTTAAATTGAACAAATTATAAGTATAAGGTATAGATATCAGCGTTAGATCGAATAAATACGATTCATGGCTTAGTAATGTAATACAAAACAGTCATCAACTAACTATTTGAGTTGTTTAGATTATATTAAACAGCCAAATAATGTGGCAGCCTATAGTTCGCCTGCTGTTCCGATCAGACCCAATATATCAAACACCTCCATACACTGCTACTTTTTCTGCATCTAGCATTAACTTAACTGAAATTAAAATTACATCTGAAAAAAGTATATAGAAGACTATTGAAAGGTTAACTATTTAGACAAAAATTCTTGTAGATTTATGTTACGGGTAAGCGTGTCCGCCTCGAGTCGGCAACCGGATACGACCCTTCAAAAACGGTCAGGAAACATTGTATATTTTAAATTATTAAAAACTGGATCACTGGATAATGCAATTCAAGACTTTTTATTGGCTTAGCCATTATGGTATATGAGCCAATATACCATAATCTACAAATATGGTAAGCGTACGCGTCAGCTTAAAATCAAAAGGGAGCTAAAAATCCGGTTTCTTCTTACAAAATAATTTCTTCGGGGCGTTTTTAATAAAACAATTATTTCACTCGCGCTTGTTTGATATGATATGATTAAAGCCAACTCGACGCTACGCGCCCCGTTGGCTATCTATCATCTCATATCCAACGCGCGCTCCTGGAATAATTGTCAAGTACACTCTCGCTACTGAAGTATGATCTGAATTAATACTTCTGTAAAGGACAGAGATGGGTCTCTATAATAATTAAGCTGTAACAGTTCAAGGCTTATCAACCGCAGATGGAACCTAACATACTTTTGATCTCTAATAGTACATGTACAAAGTGCCACATTTACTGCCAAACCTCAAGCTAAACAAGACATTGGCGCGTAAACAAGTATCCCTAACAACTAATAATTTAAAATGGCTCATTTTATTACATTTAGGTTATCGAATATTTAACTGGTATGTATAGCATGACACGGGCACTTATATTCTCACATAAAACAAAAAGCTTATATTTTGACACTATTTAAGAAAACTACTGTTTTAGTATTTCAGAGTCACTATATGCGCCTTGATAGAACCGAACACCTACTTAATCGATTTTAGAGGTAATTTCTTATAAATAAAATGGATTCAGTTGAGAACACAATGTTTTTTATTACACTCTCGTTCCTTTTATGCCATCGAGTGCTTCGTAAAACTGATCAAGATCGCTGTCATCGTCAAACGTGGCCAGCGGTGCTCTTGGAGACTCTCGCCCAGAGGCTGCTGGGAGATTTTCATCTGTTTGGTTTTCATCTGTTACAAAGTAACATGACCCAAGGATAAAAGAAGCCATTCAGTAACTTTCCGTATGTTAAATACTTACTCTCTTCTCAGACTAATTCATAGCGAGATTGTTATACAAAGTGGGGCACCGTAGTGCCACGCTTCGGGAAAGAAAAATCGCTCCAAAACTTTGTAGTGAGCAAAAGGACTTTCACTGTTCGAATAAACCGCTTAACGTAATTGAGCAAGGAAAACACGGTGACGAAACATGAGAAACTAACAATTTGTGCAAGGTATGATGAGGAGAGGTTGTTTACCATTTGTCCTCTAAATTGGTGAAAAGATCTCAATATATCAAAGTTCTTATTTTTCAGAAGAAGCAGAGGGTTATTAAACATACCCTTATTCACGATAAACTGTTCGTCTTCCCCAGCTTCATGGTCCATGTTATCTTCGTCTTGCTCTTCAGATTCTTTGTGGTCGTTTTCCAATACTTGCTTTTTTTTTTCAGGCTCATCTTCCACGTCATCTTCATGTTGTTCTTCAGATTCTTCTTCTTGTTTTTCACGTTTGTCTTTCTTCTCTGATGGATCCTCGTGTTCATCCGGTGGTCTTTCACCCTCTTCAGTCTCATCTCTCTCTTCAGGCCCTTCATGATTGGTTTGCTCTACGATTTTCTCATGCTCACTTTCATCTTTGGACTCGTCATTACTGTCATCGCTATCATCACTCTCTGGGTCTTGCTGGATTTGAACTGGAAAGAAAAAAGTTAAAAGATAAAAAGTGCACTGTGCCAGGGGTGTTACCTCCTGTAGTACCAGCCACAGCATACCAGTTCCAATCAAAGAGTACGTTATAACATTTGAGTGTTCTTTGATAAACATGAATTTTGACAAATGGGCCAAAGTCTTTATTGAAACAGTAAAAGAAAAAAAAAACACTGTTGCAACACAGTTTCTCCATTAAACATTCGCGGCATTTAATAATTCCAAACCCCATGGAATTTTTGCCCAGTTGAATAAATTTAAACCTTAAACATTAGTTCGATATCGAAACGAAATCATCTTGTGGCTAAAGCAGATAACCAAAGTAAATTAAAAAAATAGCAACCGCAAGTCTTCTCTAGATAAAATGGCTGTTTTAATAATAACAAACACTTTGTCAACTACAACTGACAGCGTGGCATCTTAACGCGATGACCACGCATATGCGCAAACCGAATCACCGGAACCGTCGGAATGAACTGGATATTACAAAAACCAAGGCTTTGTTGTTAATCGAGAATTTTTATTTTATTTTCAAAATCTGTAAAAGTCCCCCAGCTGCAATTTCTCCTCGAATTTGTGCATCACAGATGAAAACGTTGTTTTTGACGTAGGGTAAGCGTTACACTGTAATTTCTGTCAGTTCAGTGAAGGGCTGTTTGATATTTTATAGTTCTCAAAACTTTCTTGAACGTGATTGATTTTCCAAATTAACGGATATGAAAAACTTGTATGAAGGCGTTTTAATTTTTTATATAATATAAAACTATGCATTAGTGTTATTGTTGATTGAGGGGAGGCATCAAAATTTTAAATTCTGTCAGCAAAACGAAGAACTACTTCATTTCATGTGTAAATCAGGCGTATGTGTATATGTATTCAGGGAAGATGCGATGGTGCTCAAACCACTGAATTGGCTCAATGGTGGCACAAAGTTATCAAAATTATCATGACTTTGGGAAAAATGACAGAATTCCCTGGGATGTATGAGGTCCTACTGGGAGAACTTGTATTTTCCCTTTTTCTGGCGTAATTGATAAGCTTACTTTACATTGCCAGAACCTGCTTTCCTACCCTTTAAATTTTAATTTTAAAACATGGCTTCGGGCCAGTTAAGTTACCGGCACTTTCGAGAAACGAACTCCAGGCCTGTAAGTCTTACCTAAATAATATCTTAATGTTACAAAAACACGCATTACGTTTCATGTACTTCGCAAAGAAAAATGAACATACCATTCCACTGTTTATTAATGCTAAGATTTTGCCTCTGAAGGTTTTGTACTACAAAACTTTATCGAGTTGATGCACGACGTTAGCACTGCTTCTGCCCCAATGAATATACCTAATTTATTTACGAAAACGTCTAGTAGTATTCTTATAACACACGCTCATCTACTTCAGATAATTTTTACATAAATGCTTCAAGACTTGAAATACAGAAAAACGCCCTCTCAAGGATTGGTGCTAAACTATGGAATGAGATACCTAACTCTCTGAGAGGGCTACCAAAGAAATCCTTCAAACTCAGAATTAAAAACAAAGTTCACTTAAGTGTACTCGACGATGAAGACTCTTTCATTGAGGTTCGCAAAATCATCTCCAAGCTAAATTAAAATGTCAGTAGTAGTAGTAGTACGGGGAAGGGAAGAGAGAGAAACAAACAAACAAGAAAAATATTATCTATTCAATCACATTCTTTTTCTTCTTTTCTTTTTATTTTATTAATATTAATAGTAATAAGCTAATGATGGACTGTAGCTATTGATGGACTGGCCCGCTTAGACTAGCATAGCTATATGCGGGCCCGTCCGACTTTAAATGTATGTTTTTATGTAAAAATAATAAATGATGATGATGAATTTAAAAGTGATTCACAATCTGATGAATCATGCTTCCTCCCAGAGAGATGCCGCTGAACTGAATATAAAGCTTTGTTTAGATACAGTATGGTTTATTTTACATAGTTTCCTGTTAACTTTCATAAATGAACTTTTCCTGGAGGAAACTTATGTCACTGATGTTACTCAAAAGTGCCGCATGATTTTTCTTTTAATCAGCTTTCCACTGGCATGTTTAAGATGAATTGGTTGTTTCTGTCTTCTTCGTTTTAAAAAAGGCCTAGCTTTTCCCAATAGTTTATCAATGGGAGGTATTTTGTTTTCAAGACGATGCTCCAATTGTCTTTTTATTTTTTTTTCCATTTGGAGCGAGTATGTTAATCTTCAATTCTGGTTTTTTCTGAGGCATGCAAGAGGAGGAGGGAAATCAGGAAAAAAAGATAAAATGAGGATACAATGACATTTGGCCCTCAAAGGAATGCTGAGCATTACCCTGATCATAATATCCTACATCGTACTATGACTATTTTATATGCAATTGCTATCCATTTCTCATATCGTTTTGGATCTCATGAATCCTCATAAAGGAGCACTAACGATTTTCTTCCCGGTGATAATTCAGGGCACATTTAGTAATATGAATGACAGCTCTAAGGTTTAGTATTGTGATGTCTTCCCCTTATACGTTTGCAGAAGCTTCTACAAAACTTATTGTTAATCGTTACTTTACAACAAATCAGAAGGAACGAATTAATATGAGCCATCACATCCAGCTTATAATGGTATGTAGTTAAGTAAATATGATTAATGGTTTATGAATAAGCCATTATTACTGTAGTTATGAATAAGGAAGTGCAAAAATAGATTTGAATACACACATTTGGAGTGAATGATAACGTAAACAAATTTCAATGTTCTTAAGGAACCTAAACCTCACCTTCATCAGTAGATTGGTCCTGATCCCCTTGAAAATCTGTTTGTAACTCTTCATATTCAGAATTTGCTGCAACATCTTTCTGGGACTGTATATTATCTTTAGTCTCTGTCTTCATTGGCTGTGCTGTTATTTTGTCGGTAGAGTCGGTAGGCTCAGTTTCAAGCTGTTCTGGCTTGGCAGGCTCTTTGTGTTTTGTGTTCAGCTGCCATTTACATGTATCTTGGGGCTCAGTATTTTCTAGACATGGGTGATCATGTTTATGAACCTCCTCTTGCTCTTTTTCAGGTTCCTCTTCGGCCTCTTTGTCTGGTCCTGAGTGGAACATGCAATTTAAGAGATTAGTAAATGTCAGTCGTGAAATCAGTTTGTAGACAAAGCGAATTACACAACATGAGCACAAAGATAAAACTTGTAAATTTGCACTGTTGTTCCTCCATACTGAAATGTGTCCACTCGGTTGAATTTTTTTTGCTTGCTTGTAAGTGAGATTTGAGAAACAAATAAGACCACCCTCAGGCTCAAATATCATTATGATCATTTGGGAGTTGTTCAGCGGGTTCTTCATCCTCAGTATTCTCCAATTTCGGATTTGTTGGCTCCTTTCGTGTCTCCCTATTTTCTTTATGATCTTTATTTTTCTCCTCACTCTGTTCAAGGGCGACACGATGTTCTAAACATTCGTTCCTGCGATCTATAAAGCATGTTTGGTGATTTATAATTAAAGAGAATAGAGCAGATTATATTTTTTTATAAAGATGAAAAGGTCAATTGGGCTCTGATAAAATTTTATTCAACCGGTGTGATGTTTATTGTTGGTTTTCTCCGATAAAATTTTCTAACGATTTTGTAATATCGTCTGAGACGTCATCGGTAAAATGGCCAACAGTATTAGTGTAACATACACTACATTTTTAAATGCATATTACCTTCCCCTCTTCTTAGAAACACCCATGGAGAAAGATAATGCTGATGCTTACTGAGGTCAACCTTTGGGGTATAGATCCAATAGAACATTGAATGAACAAAGCAAAGGATCCTTAAGGAAACAAAGTAAAACCAACATATCTTTCTTTTGTTGGTTCACGTACCCTCTTCCCCTCCAGCAGCTCCGAAAGTCCTCATCTCCAAAGCCTGACCGTGACCCGGATCTCTCACATCTTAAATAGAAAAGTAATATAGAACTGAGTTGCCATCTTAGTTTGGGAGTATTAGCTAAAGCAAAACATCAGCGGAGGCCTATACCTTCTCCGGTTTGCGTTCGACTACACTTTGCCATGAAATAGTTGCACAGCTGTTGCCATTTTGCTTTGAGAACGTCTCGAACCTATATTTGGGTCAGAAAAGTTTTCCTACATTGAAGTTAAAGATTTAAATTAATGATAATATCCAAAAGGCATGCAAGATCATGCGAGATGGCTTTGTATCACTAAGTTTTAATGTGACAGATTGTATTCAGTTTTTTTCCTAACTCAACTCTATCCCTTCGCGATATAATGTTTGACTTCTTATTACTTGAAATCCACAAAATATCTTCTTAAGATGCTTACTCAAGGAAATTGATCTAGGGTAATCATTGGTGAAATCCTACCTAATACCAAAACAATATATGTAATGTAATATCCTAACAATACAAGTAAAGTGAAATCCGTGATATTGAAGGATATTGAACTAGGGTAGTCATTGGTGAAATCCTACCTAATACCAAAACACTATATGTAATGTAATATCCTAACAATATAAGTAAAGTGAAATCCGTGATACATCTAATGAATTCTTGAATGCATATTTTGTTTAGTTGATAAGTGTAGACTGCCATACTTTCATTTATATCTCGGTGATATGTTTGAGTGTTACATAACGTGTGCCAAGTGAGATGAAGTAGCAGATCTTTCATTTTTATGATAATTTTACAGAAACTAACATATTTTAAAGAGATGATTACCTGTGTGGTGGACAAGGTGTATATGATTGGATTGATGGCGGAGTTGAATGGGAGAAGAAACACTGCGATCCACACGGCAAGATCTCCTGGTGTCCTGAACGACTTTTCCACAAGGGTCCTGAGTCCAATAACAATGACTGGCATCCAGCAGATGCAGTCAGTCAGGATGATGAAAGACACCCGTTTGGCAAGAGCTGTCTCTCGCTGGGTATTGGCTGACATCGCCTGGACCCACAATCTGTTTCCAACTATTACAAGATAAGCCACAACGACAAAGGCTACAAAAGCCAAATTCAAACCAACAAATACAGCCACAGAATATTCCCAACCAGGTGCCTTATAGTCTGAGAGCTGAAGTGGAATACATACAACAGATCTGCCATAGTAATGATGACCTCCATTAGGGGCTTTAAAATACCGGATGCCAAATATGGGAAGGAAAGCAAATATGAAACCGACAATCCAGATGATAAAGCACAAAGCATGAGCGGCTTTGTTAGTCAGTCCATCGATATTGAAAGGGAACACAATATTTTTAAGTCTGTCAGCAGAGATAAGAGAAATAAGCATCAAAGATACCTCGCTTGATAACACTGCGATTGCGCCAGTTATCTGGCATAACAGACTCGAACGCCAGCTATAGTCATGCAAGTAGTATTGCCCTGCCCAGATCGCATCCATCACACCTATGGTGATCAGATAAATACCCATTAACCCATCGGATACCGCCAAGTGCGTCAACATGATTGGCTGTGCAGTATTTCTCTCCTTGTAGACCATTCGCCATGTGATGACAAACACAGCTCCAATCAGAGACATGATACCAACAACCCAAATACACTTCCTTGGGGCTCCATCTCTGAACATAGTCTCGCAACTGGCAAAGCTGTCGACAGAGGCAAAATCGCAGTCCGCGTCCTCTTTTGTCAAGTGACAACACATCAGGTTGGTGTCTAGAGTGCTAGGGTTCATAGAAAGAGTTTAAATTAATGATCCCAAAGGAGAACACGTGCTGAGGAAATTACAGGTACTCAAATTGAAAAAAATATTTAGGGTATAATTCCGAGGTGCGCTAAGAATGAATTCTCATAACCTAACACTCTCACCATTGGGGGATTGGGAAAGTGGGAACCGTCATGAGTCTTCATGTATGTCAATGGCGGGGATAGCGAGGTTGTAAGCACTACATAGAGCGGTAGAGACGAATTAAGATTCTAATAAATCACCTCAACTAGGCACTGAGTGTGTACTTTAATTGACTTACGCTGTTATTAACTCCTTCATGTTAGAGAAGAAGCCTTCTGGTAGTTCCCGCATCTCGTTGTAATGAAGGTACCTGCGAGTTAGAAGAAAGCAATTCAGCTAAACTAGCAATGCTTCTTCATGTTATACTGACAATGATCTCTTCAACCTGCTGTATCAGTTATTGAGAGGTCGCTTCCTACTTCCTCTGCTTTTTTTCGCACAATCTCCAATGATTATCAGAAACCGAAACGTTATAAACCTTAGCAAAAGGAAACTGAAAGATGAGAACTCATTTATGGAAAAGTGAGAAATAAACGCTTCTGTTTTTTAACGAGTAATCCCATTTTTCCCGATTCGTGACAAGTTATTCGTCGGCTAATCACACAGGCATGGGCGTATTTACTTTGCCAACATACTTTGAATTCGCAACCAATCTAAGTTTTTCCTGGATTGTGTTATAGAATTGCGTAAGTTCGTATACGCTCTGAAGAAACACAGCTGGTTCATACTCACAAGAATCGAATGTTTGGCGCGACATCTTTGAATTGTTCATTAGTTACTTCAGTGATTTTGTTAAGATAAAAGCTCCTGAATAGGGATAAACCAATAAAAAGTGTACACGTCATACGAGAGTTGTATTATCCTTCGAAATCTGTTTACTTCAACTCAATTTGGCTCGTTTTGTTTAAAGTTAAATCTCCATAACTTGAACGTTTCGTGTAGTGTATTATACTACGATAACAAAATCTTTATAACCGATTCTACGCAGGTTCTACAGAAGTCCTTCAGATGGCTAAAGACTTTAAACTGCATCAGTTAACTCTCATTGGTTTGCCTGATCTCATGATTACTCTAATGGCTGAGAGGCTTTTTCCTAAATCAGTATAGAATTGATCTTGTGAGGTATGTCACGGCATACCCTTCGTTTGAATCTTGAAGGAACCTGAAGTTGGGTTTCCCATTAAGTTCTTGCACTTTTAGAATTTCTTCCTATCTTTCATAGGACCTTCATTCACCCTGGTGTCCACGCACTGAATAGAATGGGTCTTGCATGTGTACTCGGCTTATTTTACCCTAAACCCATGGTATTGTTTTGAATAGCAGCCTGTTTGATGTACGTTCACTGTTGCACAGTGATAATTAACATGGTCGGAAGGATAACCTAGGCTAAGATGATAATTCTTTTCATGTCTACTAGTGTCCGTGACCATTTCGGACAAGACAGAAAATTTTATTCGCAATCACTCTGTGGTTTTTGCAAGCATCCCGAGCATATACATGTAGATGCAGAGTAGGTAGAGTCTTTTTAAGGGTATCGTGGTATTTAAATACCATTTGATTACATCGATTAATACATTCGTGATATCTGACGTTTCCATACGCTGCAAAGTGAAGACAAGGCCGGCAACTTCAAAAAGGCTTAGAACTATGCAATTTTCCCTTGGGATAGCAATAATTCAGGTTTCGTCTGTTGTCCTTCAGTCTATTATGAAAAGCAATTCGTTCTACTTTTACTAAAAAATTTCTTGTGAGAGTCTGACTGCTTTTGGAAGTATTAATTTCGTTTATCAAGTAAGTTTAAAAAGATACTTACATAGACCTAATCTGTTTCGCATCATTAAAAACTCCACGGGGCAGATGTTTGATATCGTTGTCATAAAGAGCCCTTGAAATCAAAAAAGGGGAAATTTTATCATCCGAACAACATAGAAACAATCTAAGCATATATTGATTTTCATTGCAAATACCATTCATGTTACTCTTATGCCGTTCTTTCAGGGTATTGAGCGGTAAACCAGCACTATTCAGGGGTACACCAGCTCGATTAAGTAGGCAAAAATCCAAGCAAAAAACGAGGTTGTCGACTATTCAAGCGTTTCCACGATACATGAAACACTTAGCTTTTACCATCCAACCTCACTCTTCCCTTTAAGTATGCGTGAGGTTCATTTTTAATTGAAAATTTCTCTCCTTAAAAGTTAGATATGTATCGAGAATACCGAGCAAAGATGATCTGTTAAGAGTCATTGCTTTTCGTTTTGGCTTTATTAAACCATCTTTTTCAGATGTCCTGAAAACTTAAAATTAATTTTAAAAGGAAAAAAA